CGGTGGTAACTTGTTTTGATAGTATGGGTACTCTTTTTCCGCCAGTACAAACTACTCCAGTCTCTGAATCAGCATTCTGCATCAACTTCACCACACGATGAGCAGTTTTCACTGTTATCGCAAAAGCTTTACTCACTTTGTGTGCCAACTGCTTCCTTTCACCTTCAGTGTTTTCCTCTTTTCTGTTGAGGATGGCCTCAATGACGTTGTAACCGATAATGGGGTCACTGGCAACGGCTGGGTCGCTTGACACCAGTACTGGCACTTGTAAATCATTTGTCTTGGTGTGGTCACTGCCTAGTCTGAAACTGACTTCAATCCAGCCGATATATGGAATGGGTGTGTCATTAGCAGCAAAGACTGTCAGTGTCTCATCCCCCAATAACTCTGGGATGGGTTTGACAACCGTGTGGGGTAGGTGGTTCAGTCGCCAGAGGTCATTCACAATGCTGGATTGTGCTCCCGTGTCCCACAGGGCTCTAACTGGGCAATTGTCCATAACGCAATCCACAATGCATCGGCTACCCACAAGGCTTATCAACTGTGGCTGGTGTCGAGGCGGTATGTAGTTAATCACACTTACAGCTGATGATGCTCCGGCTACTCTCTTTTCACAGGCTGTTGTTGGTTGCATGACTGGGATGGGCGGTGGCTGCTCGTTTCGGGGCAATTGGCTTTGGACTACTGCTGGCCCCACCTCAATAGTCCCTGCCCGTTTCCCGACGTGGTTCTGCACCCGCGAGAGAAGTGGCCCTCCTGCCCACATTTGAAACAGTGCGAACAGTTCTCGCCTATTCCTTCCTCCTTGCACTTTTTGCAGCCTCTCCCTCCCTGCTTCAGTCCATGAGGTCGGGGACTTGGCTCCATTACAGCCCGAAACATCTGCTGCATTTCCTTACGAAGCTCTTCCATCATCTGCTGTGCGTTTATGCTGTCAGGCTTAGTCTCATTCCGCTTTACCGTTTTAATTGAGGCTGTTGAGTCGGACTCCATGTGTTTAGAGGGGCTCTGAACAGCTGTGAATTTTACCTGAGAGTCTGCTTGATGCTCTTGTACTTTGAGAGTTTTACTAGCAGTGGATCTTTTTCGTTTCTCCTGTCTCTCACTTTCGACTTTGGCCGCCTCATCCACTTGCTGTATCAGTTCCTCATCGGTTATGCTCACATCGCTGAGGTGGGGAAGAATTTGGAACTTCACAGAATCGCTCAACAGTCCAGTTTCAATCGAGCGGAGGAACTTGCGCTGAATGACAGCTCTGCTGTACTGCTCATCGGTGTCTTCGTTCGTGGCTTTCCATAACAGTTTCTCTTTCAGCTCGATCGCCCGGAATACAAAGTTCAGGGCAGTCTCTTTGGGCTCTTGAGAGATGTTAAGAAGCTGGTGGTAAAGCTCTGTCGAACTGTCTACTCGATAGTGGCCCTTTAGGATGGTGAGGAGTGCACTGAGGGTCAGCCCACGCTTGATCTCTAACATGTCTCTCAACGGCAGTCCTGGACTGACAGCCCTGATTACAGCCTCGACTACTTCAGTCTGTGTGTGCCCCTTTTGTACTCCCAGCTCGATCTGGCGGACTAAACTGAGATATGACAATTTGTCCCTCTGACCACTCTCTCCAATTTGCTCACAAATTTTAAACTCTCTTCGCATCGTTACCTCAGGCAATGGGCTAATGGGCTCTAGCCGGCTCTTGAATGGTGAATCAGTCTTTAAAAGAGAGGTGTGTGGTGAGAAATCCTTTTTTAGTTCTTCTTTTGGAGCTGGCTTCTCTGATGGGTACCCTTTCTCCGATTGACCACGCCCCTTACTGTGTTTTTCAATGAATGATAATAACTCAACACAGTACTGTTCACCTTCATCGCCGTCTAGTTTCTCCTCCAGCCCATCCAATTGACACTCGGCCATCCTGATGAGTGCCCTCCGTGTCCTGCTGCGGGACTCTCCACTGTCCAGGCTATCACATTTCAGGTACCTGCAGACATCCACAAGAGACTCTTCCCCTAACTGCCACAGAGCTGCACTCACTTGATCACGCACGTTCTGACTGGCGTCCATCTTGTTTCAGGTTCGACTCGTTGGGAAGGAGGGGGTTAATGGTGTTGGTCACTCTATCGCCTCCTCCTGGCTGGCTCGCCAAAATATGTTACACTTTTAGGAATGAGGCGATGTCACTTCCTGGTGCAACACATTTATTTATCTGCATAAAACACAAGAAAAAGCATTGTTCAAGCAAGGAGCACATTTCTCTGCACTTTCGCGCTTCATCTCGTGCTGGATACTACTTCTACACTCTAGCTAGTCAGCCACCCATGCGCTGTGCAACTCACGGGTGCCCCCTGCTGACGACTCCGAGTCTCACCCAATTGAACACAATGCAATAAAGTAATGCAAGTAACTAACAATAACATTAACGAAATTTAAAGGGGGGTGCACTGATATCGGTCCCGTTTTACATTCTAAGGGCTACACTTGTTCCAGTGAGTTTCAGATTCAGTGTGTGTGTTTGCAGGGATGAGCCAGTGCTTGTTCCAGTGAGATTCAGATTCAGTGTGTGTGTTTGTAGGGATGAGTCAGTGCTTGTTCCAGTGAGTTTCTGATTCAGTGTGTGTGTTTGCAGGGATGAGCCCGTGCTTGTTCCAGTGAGTTTCAGATTCAGTGTGTGTGTGTGTGTGTGTGTGTGTGTGTTTGCAGGGATGAGCCAGTGCTTGTTCCAGTGAGTTTCAGATTCAGTGTGTCTGTTTGCAGGGATGAGCCAGTGCTTGTTCCAGTGAGTTTCAGATTCAGTGTGTGTGTTTGCAGGGATTACCCAGTGCTTGTTCCAGTGAGTTTCAGATTCAGTGTGTGTGTTTGCAGGGATGAACCAGTGCTTGTTCCAGTGAGATTCAGATTCAGTGTGTGTGTTTGCAGGGATGAGCCAGTGCTTGTTCCAGTGAGTTTCAGATTCAGTGTGTGTGTTTGCAGGGATTACCCAGTGCTTGTTCCAGTGAGTTTCAGATTCAGTGTGTGTGTTTGCAGGGATGAGCCAGTGCTTGTTCCAGTGAGTTTCAGATTCAGTGTGTGTGTTTGCAGGGATGAGCCAGTGCTTGTTCCAGTGAGTTTCAGATTCAGTGTGTGTGTTTGCAGGGATGAGCCCGTGCTTGTTCCAGTGAGTTTCAGATTCAGTGTGTGTGTTTGCAGGGATGAGCCAGTGCTTGTTCCAGTGAGTTTCAGATTCAGTGTGTGTGTTTGCAGGGATGAGTCAGTGCTTGTTCCAGTGAGTTTCAGATTCAGTGTGCGTGTGTGTTTGCAGGGATGAGCCAGTGCTTGTTCCAGTGAGATTCAGATTCAGTGTGTGTGTTTGCAGGGATGAGCCAGTGCTTGTTCCAGTGAGATTCAGATTCAGTGTGTGTGTTTGCAGGGATGAGCCAGTGCTTGTTCCAGTGAGATTCAGATTCAGTGTGTGTGTTTGCAGGGATGATCCAGTGCTTGTTCCAGTGAGTTTCAGATTCAGTGTGTGTGTTTGCAGCGATGAGTCAGTGCTTGTTCCAGTGAGTTTCAGATTCAGTGTGTGTGTGTTTGCAGGGATGAGCCAGTGCTTGTTCCAGTGAGTTTCAGATTCAGTGTGTGTGTTTGCAGGGATGAGCCAGTGCTTGTGCCAGTGAGTTTCAGATTCAGTGTGTGTGTTTGCAGGGATGAGCCAGTGCTTGTTCCAGTGAGATTCAGATTCAGTGTGTGTGTTTGCAGCGATGAGCCAGTGCTTGTTCCAGTGAGTTTCAGATTCAGTGTGTGTGTTTGCAGGGATGAGCCAGTGCTTGTTCCAGTGAGTTTCAGATTCAGTGTGTGTGTTTGCAGGGATGAGCCAGTGCTTGTTCCAGTGAGTTTCAGATTCAGTGTGTGTGTTTGCAGGGATGAGCCAGTGCTTGTTCCAGTGAGTTTCAGATTCAGTGTGTGTGTTTGCAGGGATGATCCAAATCTTGTTCCAGTGAGTTTCAGATTCAGTGGGCCCTATCTTGCACTCGGCGCAAATGACTTTGTACACTGACGCATGTATCATTCCTATTTTGCACCCGCGCAAAGCGGACTTTTCCCTCCACAGACACACGTCGGTTAACTAAGAAATACACTTGCGCTCCCCGGGGCGTTTCAGCGCAAAGAGGAGGCGTGTTCCGGCGCAAACTTTCCCTCATGCTATTTTGCTGTTCTATAAAACAAATGCGCCACTGACCAGAAAAAAACTAGTCTAAAGTCAGTGGCGCGTTGCGCGTTGTTCATTATGCTATTTTAAGGGCGCATGCTTGACCATAATCAATGTAGCGTGTGCACAACGCGCATACACTTTGATTCTCTCATCTAAGCAGCAGTTTTCATTTTTGCAAATCATACATTATTACGATAGATAGATAGATAGATAGATAGATAGATAGATAGACAATTTATTATAAAAGCATACATGTAGCTTACACATTTACCCAAATTATCATACGCCTGTTTAACAGAAGTTAATTTGGGTGGGTTTCTCCATCCCCAATGTCACTTCTCTCGTGTTTTACGGCCCTGACGAGAACGTTGCTCTCCTCGGCTGTGAACCGCTCCTGGCGCGCGCCTGGCAAATCCGCCGTTATAATAGGAATCCGCTTTAGAACAAGCGCGCCTGCTCTTAAAGGGAATGTGAGATGAAGCTCTGATTGGTTTATTTCACGTTACGCCCAAACCACATCTATGAATAATGAAGCTACTTCAGACCAACCCCTTTTAGATTTGCGCCAGGCGCAAGAGGCATTTATCCCGCCGGGAAAATAGCAACAGCGCCGGGATCCGCCCACAAAGTTACTTGCGCTTTGCGCTTTGACACTTGCGTTTCAGATCGTTAAAATAGGGCCCAGTGTGTGTGTTTGCAGGGATGACCCAGTGCTTGTTTCAGGCTCTGACAGTGAAGTAAACACACTGTGTCTGTCTCCTTAGATTACACCTGCTTGGCGGTAGCATGAAACGTGTTTGCTGTAAAATCTGTTGTGTGTTTCCAGACCAAGACACCTGGAGTGGGCTTTGTGAAGATTCATGCTCCGTGGAACGTGCTCTGTCGCGAGGCTGAGTTCATGAAACTGAAGATGCCTACTAAAAAAGTAAGGTTTGTCCAGCATGCCCTGAGTAAAGCAGAGATGTGACGAGTGACGACTGTGATGACGCTGTGCTCCTACTGTAGGTGTATGAAGTCAAACACAGCAGCGGCGTAATGGAAAAGATCAACACGTTCATCAGCAAACTCACAGATCCCCTTCATCCCAACCTAGAAGAGAACCGGACGCAGAAAGTGAAGCACCTCTCGTACCCGTTCTCCAGAGAAAAGCAGCATCTGTTAGTGTCCGCCTCCATTCTCAAGCGCCAACACTTCTTAATGTCTGTTATACGTGCTGTTATAGACAGTCAGTGCGACTCCTTTCATAGGCTTTTTCTCACTGTGTGCAGTTTTCAATGTGACAAGAATGTAAAAAAGGAAGAAATTCTGCTCTGTTTAGACCAAACTACCCTTCAGTTTTGATGCAAACACAAGTATGTGTACAGACAAACACGCAAACATGCATGAACACGAACACTAGAAGGTTTCAGTCTTCTGTCACGGGTTGTGTGGGAGAGACTCAACACACAAATAACATGAAGATGATGATGAAGGTAGACAGGCTTTAATTCCAACAAGGTACATCCACAAAACAACTACACTAAGACGAGACCCAACAAACACTGAACTCAACTGAACTGAACTTCAATAGGGGAGATAACGAGACACACACACCTGAATATAATGATGAAATCAAATGAATAACCATGACAACTGACAAAGAGCGGGAAACAATACACAAAGTCCATGCGGTGTGACACTTCCCAGAGTTTGTGCTATTCTTATGGAGGCAACAAGAAAAAACTTGAGACTTTTTATTCCACAATTCTGGCTTTATTTCACACAATTCCATGTATAAATCTCACAATTATGACTTAAAAACTTTATAATATATTATTATATTATATTATTATAATATTATCAAATAAAAGTCGCAATTGTAGAAAAAACAACTCAGAATTGCACTTTTATTATTATCATTATCACTGTTAATATTAATTATCTTGCAATTCTGTCTTTTTCATCAGAATTGTGAGACATAAAAAAATTGGAGATAAATAGTTGCAATTACCTTTTTATTCTGTGGCGAATTTCTGTTTAAAGGCTTTGACCGATAAAAATGTGTGATAACACTTAATTTTACAGTGTCCTTGTTACACGTTACATGCAGTTACCATAGTAATGTATAAATGATAAACATATAAATGATGCATTATTACATGCAACTAACCCTAAACCAAACGTAACCCTAACCCTAAGTACAGCGCTAGTAAACACTGGTGTTGCTGTACTCGTAGCATCTCCAGGAGTTTGTTTTTGTTGTTCATCAGCTTCTGTTCTTGACTGTTCATCAGTGGCCCAGTCCAGTGTTTATTGAATTAATTAGTGCAAAGTTATTAGTAAGTGTGTAGTTATTAAACTCACACAGTGCACGTACAGTATGCGCATACTGTACTGATGATAATATTTACATCACACACCCTAGTGTATGCGTAACTTATACTTTGGGCTTTAGGAAACATTTTAATGTTTTATGACAAATTTGATATGGGAACATAAAAATGACAGGAACAATCAAGTTGACTCCTAAGGTAATAATATTAATATATTCTTGGCAATGTAGGTGTCACAACAACAAAAACTGCATTGCACGCACAACTTCAGAGCCAGGTAAACTAACCTTATAATAAAACATTGCCTAAATGTCCTCGCTCTCATGTGAAGGAAGGTCATTTTAGTAAACGAAAACTGAAACTAAGACTAAAACTATTAGTCCAAAAACATTTTTGTAAACTGAAATTAAATAGAGATTTAAACCTAAATGAAAAACTAAAATTAAACCAAACGAACAACAGTTACTTAAAAACCTACTGAAATGAAATAATAATTAGCAAAAATAAATAATCATTTTCGTAATTAAAAAGCTCTCACCCTGTACTGGAAAATCAAGTTCCCTTTCGAGAATGGTCACTTCGTATTGCGTGGCTATACGCAGTGGGGAAACTCCTTTTCCTCAAATTCTGAAGCTTAAAATGTAAAACGCATTTTGCAGCAGCACAGCTAGCACAGTGAGTGTCTGGCAGCACATCCAATGGTGCGGGCGGCTCCAACGTGTGCGCCAATGAGCTATCATTACATCATACACGTCAGACCCCGCCACAAGGGGCGTGGCCATAGCCCATAAAAGCCCCCGAAATAGTCATTATAGCAGATTTCATCTCCTTCAGCGACATACTTCACGTCTCTGAGTCCTCTGAAAGCTTCGCCGTTGTAACCAGCCCTACAGTTAGAGTGTGCATCTCTACAGCGGATTTCGCCTTCGTTTCAGAAGCCGTCTTCCCCTGTCGCCTCTCTGCTGTCGCTATCCGGCGACCAACGCATATCCTTTGCTTTTGCTTTTAGGACAGCGAGCGTTGTTTCAAATGCCTCGCTCTTCATGCGCCACGTGCGGCTCTCGTCTGCACGAGACGAACGGGGATGCTAAGTGCGTTGCGTGCCTGGGTTCCGTCCATGCTCAAGCTGCACTTTCTGCCGGGGGATGCTCGGTCTGTGAGGGCATGCCCGTTAATAATTCGTTACATTTAAATAGCGCTTTTTCTGGGACCTCAAAGCGCTTCACATATGGAAGGGGGGAATCTCCTCAACCACCACATATATGTTCGTGTGGCTAGCTCTCTTTACGACACAAGAGATCTACCCCACCCTCTGTTTTGTACATCACACAGAAGAGCGCTTTCTAACAATGAAAGGTTCTTTCATGCGCGTGCCCGCTTCCTTCCCTCATTGAGCAGTGACGGAAGAAGTGCGCGGTCAGATGTGCACGCGGCTATCTCTCTTTACGACACAAGAGAGCTACCGCTCCCTTACATTCTGTTCATCACGCAGAACCTTCTCCGTGATTCAGACACAACAGCGCGTTTCTACAAACACACGCTGTTCTCACGGCGACCCACGTAAAGCACAAAAAGAGTATGTTTCACAATCACAACACACGGGTTTAAGGTCCCCCTTCACTAGGCGGCCCCCTCCCAGTTGTTACACTGACTTTCCCCAGGAAAAAGCCTGTGCAGTCAGTCCAACACTCAGTATGTGCACAAATCACAATGTAAGGGTATCAGGTCCCCCTGTGTTAGGCGGCCCATCCCAGACAATCCCTAGTCGCACGGGCGCTGGCCTGGCAAGCCATCCCCGATAAATGTTTTTACAGTCACAACACACGGGTTCAAGGTCCCCCTTCTCTAGGCGGCCCCCTCCCAGTGGTTACACTGACTTCTCCCAGGCAAAAGCTTGTACTGTCAGTCCAACACTCAATATGTGCACAAATCACAATGTAAGGGTATCAGGTCCCCCTGTGTTAGGCGGCCTGTCCCAAAACGTGTCAAACCCTAGCCACACATGTCCTGGCCTAGCAAGCCATCCCCGATGTGTCGAGTTGGGTTATAAACACAATAAAGTTTCAGGCGGTTATAGAGACTTCGGTGAGAAGCAACGTGGGTCACGTGCTTCGCTCCGAAATACACAATCTGCTAGCAAAAAAGGGCGATAGAGCCTGTCCCCCCCGCGCGCTGCAGCATTCGGGTTTTTACAGCCGCTATTTTCTAGTTCCAAAAAAGACGGTGGTATCAGACACATTTTAGATCTGAGACATTTGAACAGAGTTCTCATGAGACGGCCATTCAAAATGTTGACCATAAAACAAATCCTCGCGCAAATTCACCCGGGCGATTGTTTTTATTTTGTTTTTTTACTGTGGATCTGAAAGACGCTTACTTTCACATTCAAATAGCCCCCCGTCACAGGCCATTCTTGAGATTCGCCTTCAAGGGTCAGGTTTATCAGTACACAGTTCACGAAGTGCATGGACGCGGCACTCTCCCCCCTGAGGCTTCAGGGGGTGCGCGTGCTGAATTATCTCGCTGATTGGCTGATTCTAGCCCAGTCGAGAACCGAACTGTTACACCACAGGTCTCTGATTCTGAACCATTTGCAATGTCTGGGTCTCAGAATCAATATATCCAAGAGCAAACTGTATCCCAGCCAGAGTGTGATCTTTCTGGGCACGGTTATCAACTCTGACTATGAGAGCGCGCCTCACAGCAGAGCGCGCGCTCTCTATTCAACAGCTCGCAGCCTCATTCAGGGCAGGCGAACGCTCACGCCCTATGCTCACGCCTAGGTTTCAGAAACTTTTGGGTCTCATGGCAGCCGCGTCGTCAGTACTCCGTTTGGGACTACTGCGCATGCACCCGCTGCAACACTGGCTCAAGCGCCGTGTGCCAGCCAGCTCGTGGTGGTCAGGCAGCCTGTATGTCACGGTGAATCAGGGTTGTCTACAGGCACTGATTCCCTGGCTGGCTCAGGTCTGGCATCTTGAGGGCGTGAGTTTGGATGTGATTTCCACTTGGAAGGTGGTTTTCACAGACGCCTCCAACCAAGGTTGGGGAGCGTTACATGAGGGAAAGCCTGTCTCCGGCCTCTGGTCAAGCACAGAGCAGAGCTTACACATCAACTGCCTGGAAATGAAATTAGTTTGTCTGGCCCTCAAAGCATTTCTGCCAAACATCAGGGGACACCAGGTCCTAGTCCGGACGGACGATCCATCTGTGGTGTCATACATAAATTGCCAGGGCGGCGTCAGGTCGGGCAGCCTGTATGCCCTGGTGAGAGATATCCTTATTTGAGCACAAGCCAATCTGAGATCCCTGAGAGCAGCACATATCCCAGGCATCCTCAACACGGGTACGGATATGCTGTCACGGGGCAACACTCCCCCAGGCGAGTGGTCCCTGAATCCTCAGACGGTGCGCCTGATATGGAAAGTGTTTGGCGAGGCCGAAATCAACATCTTTAGCTCAAAGTACAACACTCATTGCACAGTGTTCTTCTCGAAAAACAGGGATGCGTTGGCCCATCGTTGGCCCAACCGCCCCCTTTATGCATTTCCCCCCGTCTCAATGATACCCCAGGTTATCGAGCGGGTCAGGGAGAGCGGATGCCCAGTCCTCCTGGTAGCCCCCCTCTTTAAATCCAGACCGTGGTTTCCGGAGCTGTTTCAGATGGTGGACAAAGTCCCCTGGCTGATTCCGTTGAGGAAAGACCTCCCCACGCAGGCGGAAGGGACGATATGGCATCCACGAACCGATTTATGGGCTCTCCATGTGTGGCCCCTCAATGGGTACCCGGGACCTTCCTGAGAAGGTCCTAAGCACGATCAATGAAGCCAGGGCCCCTTCTACTAGGTGCCTGTATGCTTCTAAATGGTCAGTGTTTTCCAGTTGGTGTCTGGACAAACGTTTTGAACCTGTGTCATGCGAGGTACCAGTGGTGCTCTCCTTCCTACAAGAGCTATTAGACACGGGCAGGACCCCGTCCACGCTCAAAGTGTATGTGGCAGCCATCGCAGCTTATCATGCTCCGGTGGCTGGCCGGTCACTAGGAAGAAATGACTTGGTGGTACGGTTTCTGAAAGGAGCCAGGAGGCTTAACCCCTCCAGACCTCCATCTGTTCCTTCTTGGGACCTCTCCCCGGTCCTTGGGGCCCTGAAGGGCCCACCGTTTGAACTGCTTCAGTCAGTTGATCTCAAAATACTCTCGCTAAAGACTGCTCTCCTGCTGGCACTGGCATCTGTCAAGCGAGTTGGAGATTTGCAGGCGCTCTCTGTGAGCCCCTCTTGTTTGGAGTTTGGTGTTGGCGACTCGAAGGTCGTTCTCAAACCCAGACACAGCTATGTGCCTAAAGTGCTTTCAACTCCGTTTAGAGCACAGGTGATCACTTTATTGGCCCTTCCCCCTTCCTCAGAGGATGGGGAGGTTAATCTACTCTGTCCTGTCAGAGCACTGAGAATTTATCTGGAGCGTTCCGCGTCTTTTAGACAATCAAAACAGCTCTTCGTCTGCTTCAGTGGCCAGTCCAAAGGGTCGCCCGTCACAAAGCAGAGAATATCCAGATGGATAGTTGATGCTTTTTCTCTGGCATTCACCTCAGTGGGTCAGGTTTGCCCTATTGGAACTAGAGCTCATTCGACTAGAGGCATGGCCTCTTCTTGGGCTTGGTCCTCTGGGGTTCCCATTCACGATTTCTGTGCGGCGGCCGGTTGGTTCTCGCCCTCTACGTTCGTGAAATTCTATAACATGGAGGTTCCTTCCCGGCAGGCAAGGGTCCTTTCCGTATGAATTAGACCCGACAGGTGTCCGGTCTTATCCACATAATATGTCAATGTCATAAGCACACATTCATTCAATCATTATAAAACCTGCTTCTGGCCGGTTATCATTCCCTTTATTGTTTAGACCCGACTGTGTCTGGTCTTAAGTGATGGGGTTAAAAATGGATGTTTGGGCATTACATTAAGAGGTATATCATGAGGCCCGACAGTGTCTGGTCTTATTATTATACACTGGTTTCTGGCTGGCTCTGTAAGCTCAGGGTTCTCGAGCTGCAGTTTCAACCAGCTACTCGGTGCGGCGTTTTGCATGGCGTCCCCACTGCGTATTGCACATTTGCAGGATGTGCAGTTGCCGCAGCACAGCCAATGAGTGACCAAAATGCGTTTTACATTTGAAGCTTCAGAATTCGAGGAAAAGGAGTTTCCCCACTGCATATAGCTACGCAATACTCGTTCCCTTAGTCTCAGGGAACCGAGGTTACGTTAGTAACCGAGTAGTTTTCCCAATGGATGCGCTACTTTCTTTTTCAATGTAAACACGCACTAGATGGACATGCGTGACCGTTGCGCTCGCGTCTTTTGCAGCGTCTCGCGCATGGCACTACACGCCACTCAAGTTAAAATAAGTTCAACTTTTAAAAGACGTGTCTCGAGACTTGTGCTTTTCCCCCATTCCACGGCCCGCGTCTCACGTTTTCAAAGCAAAAGTGCTTTCTGTGTGAACCAGCCCTAAAAATGCAGAAAAGGCCAAATAAGTATTTCCGTCATGTCTAGACCGTATGCAAATACAGCTGTACCTGACTTCCAAGTAAGATAACCTTCTCATGTGAAACTAGACAAGATACCACACAAGTTAGACAAGACACCACACTGAGCAGAAAACGAGGAAAAAAAAAACATGTCTATCCCACAAATAGACGGACATTTTCAGAGTAGAAGTAAACTAAATGTCTGGTCTGAATAGAACACATGAATATGAGAACTGTATATGATATTGAAAGATACAATAGACAAAAAGCATGAATGGATCAATACAAGAATAATATGCTTGAAAGGATTAATCATAGAAATAACCATAAAAGAATAATCATAATAATCATACAGATTTTTTTTTCTTACACACCACATGTTTAACAAGATTTCATCTTTAATATGAATGAATTTGAATGAATATTTTTTATTTATGGTTCTTTGTTCAATCTCAAACAATTATTTTATGTTTATTATTAAGTGGTTTGCACAAGAGTTAACTGTTAACTGCAAACATTAAACTTTGCTGAAATTAAAGGTCTGTAACTGGAAGTGTTCTTTTAACTAAACTATTATTAATAATTAAAAAATAATAACTAAACTAAAATGAACAAAACCATTAATGAAACTAACTAAACCTAAACTGGAATCTATAGGATATTTGAAAAATGAAGTGTAAAACGAAAGTGGACCTTCGTAGTGAAAGTGTTGCCTTACATTTCAGCAGTGTTTACAGCAGTTAATGGCCCGAGTGCAGTTGAGTTCTGTTCAGGTGTTATGAATGAGATTTGCACATGCGATCTGTGTGAATGGACCTGAATGCAAGAGAAAGATCGACGCAAAACTTGCATTGAAAAACATACTTGTGACCTTTTTTCTTTACAGGTTTGATTTATCCGACAGAGATTCCTTTTTCGACAGTAAAACAAGAGGCTCATTAGTAAGTATAAAGTATTGTCAGATGCATAGTATTAATGACATATTTGATCATTAAATGTTTTGATATGTGCATTGTTTTAGGTATGTGAAGTTTTGAAGCGAACCAAGTGCACAAAAGCCAAATTCAGCATGGGTGAGCTACTGCTTTGTCTATGCAGTTTGAAATCTAGTATTATTATTTTTTCTTTTTAAAATGAACAGCACCAAGTTTCAGTGCTCCATACACTTAGATGTGCATCATTGACAGCAAACGTGTAACTGACAGAACAATCCCTCTGACATGTTGTTCAGGAATCACCAGCCTGCTTGGCAGCGGCGTATATCTGGCTGCTTATCCACTGCATGATGTGAGTATCCAGCACTGTTTCTGTGAATCTGACACAGAGTTAGATTGATTAATAGATGCATTAGCACTGGAATGATCTGTAGGATATGATAGATTATTCTCTTCACCATCAGGGTGATGTTGAAGGGGAGAACGCTGAGCCTAATGACCGGAAGGTGAGTGTCAGTGCTGTGTGTGACCTCTGTGTGAATGGGGAAAAGGATTGAACAGTTGAACCGCAGACAGTGTGATGTGATAGTGAAGACTGTGGTGATAGTGAAGGCCGTGTTTCTGCCTGTATTTCAGCTGCTGTATGAAGAGTGGGCGAGCTACAGCGTCTTCTACAAGTACCAGCCCATCAGCTTGATCCGGTACATCTCAGACTCTCACACAGCTCTCTCCACGCTGGAACTTCATTAGTAATCTCTTGCTTGTCTGGCAGGAAGTACTTCGGGGAGAAGATCGGCCTCTACTTTGCTTGGCTTGGGGTTTATACCCAGATGCTGATCCCTGCTTCTTTAGTGGGCGTCATTGTGTTCCTCTATGGATGCGTTACTGTTGATGACGACATTCCCAGGTCAGTGGCCAATCAAAACGCACGCACACGCATATGAATTTATTAATATTAACTGTAAAAGAAAGCTGCGTTAATCATTGCGTTACCATAAAATGGAATTACTCTCAAACAGAAAATGACAAATGTCAGAAATCAGAAGTAAAATGGATCACCTTATTTTGGTACAGACCAAATAAAATATCATTAAGTATGATATAATTAAAGGATAGCAGAATACATGATGTGCATTTTAACCCAGCAGTTTCAAACTTAAACCAATATCAGCTTATAACGACTAAAAACTGGGTTAGTGCTGGGTAGATTACTGACAAATTGTAGTCGGATACCAAGCGGCACCCTCCCTGTCTCTCTCTTGAATCCAACACGGAAGAGACATAAACTGCAGTTCATCGACTGGCCACTAGAGGCCGGCTGCAGAAGAGACTAAATCCCATAGACCCGCATGTTAAAATGTCCAACTTTACAGCAGAAAAAAACATGTTTACAGTCTGGGGCAAAAAGTGGTTTTGGTCTATATAGCTAATGTTGCCCTTCATGACGACTGTGAGGGGGGGGATTTTTTTATAACTCATCCGTTTAAATTATATTAAAGGGGTCATGAACTGGCTTTTTAAATTTTTTTATATTGTTGTCTGAGGTCAACTTATGACGTTCGCTTGGTTTTTACATTCAAAAACATCAAAATGAATAAGTAATAGGCTATTTTCTACCCTAATTTTGAGCCTAGCTCAAAAACGCTCGTTTTTTATGGGCTTCTTGCATTGTAGACTTGGAAGTAAACGGCCACTGCTGTGAGTGGATAACAGTTTTGCGTATTATAATGAGTTTCGTGTAATGCGCGAATCGGTGGGCGGGGCTAAACCGTCCGTGTTGAAGTAGGCGTTGATCTTCTTCTGCGGGGATGGTGTTTTATCCTCTTTGTCATCATAGTTCCCCACTTTGAAAAACGAGTCGTTTGCTGAGCCTGGTGTCAATAAAAGCTTTTATTGGACTAACAAGGACGTTTTCAGTTCTGAAACTTACAGGATATTCTTATAATATGATGACCTCTTAGATGTCAAAAGCTCAAGGAAAATTTGATTTCTCAGTTCATCACCCCTTTAAGCCTTAAAGTTCTGCATAATTAAGGGCATGGCCACTTGAGTGACAGGTGGATTGCTGCTGATGTCACTGCTAGCCGTTTGTCTGTTAGCGTTACGTCACCTCAGCTAATCCGCCTCGCTGCACATTTTCTGTTATCCAGGAGTGGCGCGCGGCCAAGATGGCGACGGCCGGCTCCGCCCACTTTGGGCTTCAGAAATGCTCTTCAGAAACGTATGGGTCACGTCAGGGTCTCTACGCCCATATTTTTTTACAGTCTATGTTGGTTACTGATTCCAAATTACATGACCAAAACATTTTAGTTAGTAACGTAATCCATTTCATTACATATTTTAGGTAGGGTTATTATGCATAATTACAAGTATCTAACCCTAACCCAAACCCTAACCCTAACCGTTAATCTATAGTACTACGCACATGTAGTTCCTTAATATTACTCAGTACTTATTTGAGTAAGTACATTGTAACTATGTCTCCTAAATAAAGTGTAACCTTGGAATCTGATTACGTAATCCAGATTACATGTAACCAGTTACTACCCAGCACTGTATATTCCTAAACAATTAATTTAGTCTATTTAGAAACCCAACACTTTTAAAAATAACTCAGAACCCAGCAGTCTGAGTAAAAAATAAACCAGCAAATTTTAGAGTATAGTTTCCACAAAACATCTTTGACAAGTTCTATTTTAATAACTGGAACTGCTATTAACTCATGTCTCAGCTTTGTGATGCCAGAAATACTGCTGGGTAATAAAGTCGAGCCCCCCATCCTGAGCTAAAGCCTCAAACTGCTCAAGAGGAAGTTCATACGCTGAGAAAGAGCATATAAAACCCAAACATCTGTCTGAAAGTGCCTCTGGAGTTTGTCTCTGTCAGGATATTATGACAGCCTGAAAAGAGCCTGCTGGAACTGATCCTGCACTTTTATCCAGAAACTACACCTAAAATAGTTTCATTTAAAATTATGTTGTGATAGTTTTTGTACATGAGAGTGAAGGGTAGAATGGGAGTTGGAAATTGTGTAACCTTCAGAAAATGAACGGAATGAGATGAAATGTATTAGAGTATGTAATAAAGCAGAGGTAACAGTCTGAAGCTGAACTGGATCAGGTGTGTGTGAGAGTCTCTACTCAAGCGCTTCTTCTGTGTGCAGTATGGAGATCTGTGACCAGCGGAGGAACATCACCATGTGTCCGCTGTGTGACCGCGTGTGCAGCTACTGGAACCTGAGCACGGCGTGTGGGACGGCCCGTGCCAGCCACCTGTTCGACAACCCCGCCACCGTCTTCTTCTCCATCTTCATGGCACTGTGGGGTGAGCTGCCGAGATCCTGAGATCCCGAGAGGCTGAGAGCCTGAGATTCCGAGAGCCTGAGCTCCCGAGAGCCTGAGCTCCCGAGATCCCGAGACCCCGAGAGGCTGAGATCGTGAGATCCCGAGACTCCGTGATCCCGAGAGCCTGAGATCCCGAGAGCCTGAGATCCCGAGATCCCGAGATCCCGAGATCCCGAGATCCCGAGAGCCTGAGATCCCGAGAGCCTGAGATCCCGAGAGCCTGAGAGCCTGAGATCCCGAGCTCCCGAGACCCTGTGATCCTGAGATCCCGAGACTCCGTGATCCCGAGAGCCTGAGATCTAGAGAGCCTGAGATCCCGAGCTCCCGAGACCCCGTGATCCTGAGATCCCGAGCTCCCGAGACCCTGTGATCCCGAGAGCCTGAGATCCTGAGATCCCGAGAGCCTGAGATCCTGAGATCCCGAGACTCCGTGATCCCGAGCTCCCGAGACCCTGTGATCCTGAGATCCCGAGACTCCGTGATCCCGAGAGCCTGAGATCCAGAGAGCCTGAGATCCCGAGCTCCCGAGACCCCGAGACCCCGAGACCCCGTGATCCTGAGATCCCGAGCTCCCGAGACCCTGTGATCCCGAGAGCCTGAGATCCTGAGATCCCGAGCTCCCAAGACCCTGTGATCCCGAGAGCCTGAGATCCCGAGAGCCTGAGATCCCGAGAGCCTGAGATCCCGAGAGCCTGAGACCCTGTGATCCCGAGAGCCTGAGATCCTGAGACCCCGAGAGCCTGCACAGCAAAATCCCCAGTGTTAAATGAACACTCCTGGTGTACATATAGGTCTAACTACAGGGTGTTAAAAATAAACACTGAAGCAGTGTTGAAGTTAATGAGATAATTAAGTGATTAATTAAGTAATGATTGGCCATTAGTGCTGACACCTAATGTTAATAAGAAGAATCATTGAAGGAAAGATAAACAACAAGAACAGAAAAAGAGAAACACAAGAACTACTGACTTCGAGCCATTACACATTATTGCACTTATAGAAGGAAATGTTTTATGGAGTTTTTCATTTCAAGTCACCATTATGATGGTCAGCGTTTGCTTTAGTTGAGCTCTTGACCCTTTTCTTTTTTTATGGTTAGATTTTCTCTGTCTGTTCAAACGTTGTGTTTATAAAGCACATTTGTTACTGCAAGAGAAAACCTGCTCACAATATGGTTTGATGATTACATTATCATCATGTAGTGACCTGATTCACTGATGTCGTTCAGAGTCTAAATATTTGACTATATGCTTGATGTCTAATTTTAGCATTGGTGATTGTAGCCCTGAGATTCAACAGTTTGAGATCCAACAGCAATATGAACAATTTTGAAAATACTTTGTGCACAGAAGCTATTGTGTTTGGACACACAGACATCAAGAATCAGCTTATGAATTTCAACAATGGTGACAATAAACAAACAAGTGACAAACAGATCAACTCTGAACATCACAAAACAAGCTACTAAAGTCCTAACAAAACAATAGCAAAATAAAAGCAAACAGGAAAAACCAAGGAAAATTACAGGACAATTAAGCTGCATAATTTATTCATGCTGTAATGCATGATGTGAGCCATGGATGCGTTTTGATTGGTGGCTCCCATAATGCACTTCAACATGAAGCATTTGTGTGATTGTCACCATTGTTGAGATACATATGTAGATTCTTGATGTCTGTGTGTGATTTTAAAACCTTCAGATTATTAAAGCACTGCTGGAATTAGCTACTGTAATGAATATGAATAAAACATTTGTATAATCAGTTCATAATGCTGGTTCAATGTATCAGGCCACTACAGGATTGTAGGATTTGATTTGATCTAAACATTACCATCATTACCTGGGCTTCATTTTCAACAAATGGTCTGTACAATCAAATTAGGCTTACGATGCTTTTGGGAAACGCAGTCCAGGTCATAGTTTCTCTTGCCACAACAAATGTGCTTTAGGAACACAGAGTTGGAGCGGTCAGATAAAAACTTATATTAAAAGGTAAAAGGTCAAGAGCCCAACTGAATCAAACACTGATCACCATAATGGCGACATGAAATGAAACATTCCATAAAACATCACCATCTAAACTTCTGTAAATCTAAATAAGACTGTGTGTAGATGTATGACAGAAATAAAGTCAAACTGGTAATAATAAGTGCAATAATGTGTAATGGCTCGAAGTCAGTAGTTCTTGTGTTTCTCTTTTTTTCTGTTCTTGTTGTTTCTCTTTCCTTCAATGATTCTTCTTATTAACATTAGGTGTCACCACTAATGGCCAATCATCACTTAATTAATCACTTAATTATCTCATTAACTTCAACACTGCTTCAGTGTTAATTTTTAACACCCTGTAGTTGGACCTATAGTCAAGTCAAGTCATCCTCATTTATATAGCGTTTTTAACAATATAAATTTTACATTGTACTATATGTACACCATTTAACACTGGGGAGTTGGCTGTGTGAGAGCCTGAGATCCCGAGATCCCGAGACCCCGAGAGCCTGAGATGCTGAGATCCAGAGCTCCTGAGCTCCCGAGAGCCTGAGATCCCGAGATCCTGAGACCCAGAGATCCTCCATTCTGCTCCTCCATCAGTGTAGCCTTGTGTTTGATCCGACTGTCAGCCTTTCCTCAAGCAATCATCAGCACACACACACAGACACACACACATGCACACGCACACTAACCTGACCCCTAAACCTACCCATTACACACACACACGAATGTATGTTGAATATTAGCTATAGTTGTCATGTTGTAGCAACTGTTAATCAGACACAGTATATTGCCTTACAGGTGCCATCTAGAGTTAGCTGACTTTAGTGAATTCCCCCTGTTAGTTGGGGAATCTGGAGCTGGAAGGACAGTGTGTGTCTCTATCTCTGAACGGCTCTGTCTGTCTCAGAGTAAACATCTCCCGTCTGGAGGGGTTTATCATGCGTGCGTGTACGGCTCTGCTCTGCTCAGTGTCGAGTGCTCAGGGATCTGGACAGGAAGTCGTGACTCCGGCTCGGTTCGCAGGGCAGGAGTTCACACACCAGATTTACTGCGCAGGAGACGCACGACAGATGCTGCTCGTCCAACACACACACATCACAGAGTATCAGCCGAGCATCGTGTGTCTTAGAGTGTCCCGCAGAAATCTTCACTGTTCTTCATTCAGGCTCTGTATGGCTGGGAAACTGTCTTTGTTTCCATTATGACTTCCATTTGAATTCTCATCCATGGATTCGACCAATACGGGAAAATATCTTTATTATGCGCTCTTCATCATTAATCACCTCCATAATCGAACCGTTAATATTTGATCAGTTCCTGCTACATTTAGCGCAGTTCCTCAGGTGTGTGATGAGTTCATTACCTACTGTCAGTGTGATTAATGCTGGTGTGTGTGTGTGTGTGTGTGTGTGTGTTGCAGCGGCGTTCTTCATGGAGCACTGGAAGAGGAGACAGATGCGGCTCAACTATGAGTGGGATCTCACAGGCTTCGAGGACGAGGAGGTCTGATCACATGACCACACACACACACACACACACACACACAGTCACATGATCACTACTGCTCATTTCTCTAGTGTCATTTAATGTTGTCATCCTCTTCTTCCCCGCTGTGTGTGTGTGTGTCTGTAGGAAGCACTGAAGGTTTGAACATATTAAAATCTCTGATCTCTGACTGTATTCTCTTTCTCCACGACTCACACCTTTCCTCTCGAGTCTTTCACAGGGTTTCTAGCATGCGGACAGCTTTACACTCACCTGAAGACATACATCTTTCTCTCTTTCTTTCTCTCTCTCTCTCTCTCTCTCTCTTTCTTTCCTTCTCTCTTTCTTTCTTTCTTTCTTTCTATCTTTCTTTCTCTTTTTTCTTGTTTTCGAGTCAGTTTTGTCATATATATTGTCATTTGTTTACGTCAGGATCACCCGCGAGCCGAATATGAATTCAGAGTCATGCAGAAATCTCTGAGGACAGACCACAAATCCCAGAAGGTGATTTCATGATGAATATGTGTGCCATGCTCTATAGCATTTCTGTGAAGCTGCTTTGAAACAGTATGAATTGCCAAAATGAATGGCAATATTTGCAGTAGGCTATGATATTTGCAATATTTGATAGTTCATCTATTATTTAAATTATTTAATAGTTATCGGTTTTGATTAAATATTCATAACCATAGAATTACTTGGTTAAAATAAGATACCTAACCTTGCTAACACTAAAAATACCCCTCTCTGATGTGAACACTGAAGGACATGACGTTCTTCCTCAGTGTTTCGGTCTTGTTGTCCAGTACAAATATCTAAACATTCGTACATCAAGAAAATTACTGAACACATTGAGTCTTGTGTATGAAAAATTTATCAAAATGAAGTGAGTTTTTGCTGAAACCAAGAAAGAATATCTGCCAATGCGGTCAGAAAAATAAACTTAATTTAAACCCCATTGGTGGATATTATATTTGTGCTTGTTTTAAGCATAAAGTCACTCAATTTTGATGATTTTATTTTCAGTAAACAAGACTTAATACCTGAAATCTTTTGAATAGTCCAGTAAATATATCTTGATTTAAGAATGTTCAGATATTTGTGCTGAAAAAGACAGAAACTCTGCTTGTTCTTTTTTTCTTTAGCCAGAGAAAGAGAAGCTGACATGTAAAGACCGATTCCCTGCGTACATGACAAACCTCATCATGATGCTTTTAATGGTAAGGCTTGTGTTTCATATGAAGTCATACATCCGCCCACGCCTCCGGGTAACACTTTACCATAAAGTCTAATTTGTTAATATTAGTTCATGCATTGGCTAACAGCATTTCTTAACCTTCATTTTAGTAATAGAGATGCAGTAATTTAAAGGGGTTCTATTGTGCCTTGTTACTAGAATATGTTTTCATGCTTGATTGTTCAAAAAACACATTATTTTTCACATATTTATATTATTACAGCTCCTCTATCCCCAGTCTGGCTCAAACACCCTGATTTCGATGAAGTCCAAATGTGCTGTGATTGGTTAGTTGGTCCAGTGTGTTGTGATTGGCAGCTATTAGCACGTGTTCAGGAAATGTCCCGCCCCTTCATAACCGCAAGCTCTACTCAGCTGTAAATATTAATGATGGCGTCAATTTCAAACCAATTCGAGCCCGATTCAGACCCTGACAATGTTGTCCACCATTTGATTGTGATATTTGTTGGAAAACTAAGGTAATACAAACAGAAATCAATCACTAATCCATGGTTAATTTTCCTAAGGAGCGGTGAACCGTCTTACAAATGCGAGAGCTCACAAAAGCTACAGAAAACAAGCTGTTCTCCATAAAATGTGCAGTGCCATATACAATTTAGGATTGTGTTTAAAATAAATCTTAACCTTTCTTAAGTTAGGAAGGTCAAACAAGTGAGTTTTGGAAACGGGGTGGAAAAAACAGTGTCTCTTTGACAAAGCGTCAACACTGTCTTCTCTAATGCAACTCAACCATTTTCTATGCTCAAACAGCAACATTACACACTAACTAAAGCTGAAAAAGTGGAAAAGCATAATAGGACCCCTTTAAGGTTTGTTCATTCACTAATGTTGACACAATTTTTTATTTTAACAGATACAACATTTGATTTTGTATTAGTAAATGTTGAAATTAGCATATAGTTAGCAATATAGTTGAATAAATGTTGTAAAATCATTGTTAATTGTTCATGTTAATATAAATAACTAATGCTAATAAATGAAAGCTTAATGTAACGTGTTACCCACATTTGAACATCAATATTCATATTCAATCCTGCATGTGAATATGAATATTGAACATCAATATTCATATTCAATCCTGCATGTGAATATGAATATTTTGTCACGTAGCACAGGCAGACATCATGATTTCATGTAACCCTCTGATGCATGGTGTCCACTAGAGATCATAACAAACCATTTTAACCATCCAGACCACCACGGGTGATGACCGTTGACCCATCACTCTATATGACTGTCCTCTTTATATGTCGTTGTGTTCTTTATTTATGACAACATAAATTCAGCATGGCTGACCAAAGTGATGAAGCATCAACTGCCTCTGGAATATCAGCTTCTGTCTTTTATTCCAGGAGATCCAGGTAAAAATACACTTTTCAATAGAATGAGATCTAAGGAAAACTTGGTATTATTAATGTATTTGTTGCTGTTCACCAAAATACATCTGTCATAGTGGGCACCATGCATCATGTACATCTGTTCACTGGGCTTTTACCACATATACAGTACTATCATTCAACAGTTTGTGGTCAGAAATTAAGACTTTTATTCAGAAAGGACACATTAAATTGATCAAATGTCAAAAATAACAAGAAAAAATTCTAATAAAATGTATTAGTGTTAAAAACGTTCGGTTATGACTGTAACCCTGGTTCCCTGAGATGAGGACCGATACGCTGCGTCTGGGCATTGACGCTGTGGGGAACGGGATCAGTGTGACCGGTGTCTGAGGCACCAGTAAACAAACACCATTAATCATTGGCACACGCAGTCCATGACGTCACATGCAGAGCGGCGTCTAAAGGAGATGCGCAGACAGGTGCCATAGACACAGCATCTCATTCCCTTCTCAGGGAACCAGGGTTACAGTCGTAACTTGAGGCGTTCCCTTTCAAAGTGGAACCTCGACGCTGCGTCTTGCTATTGCCGCTATGGGGAACCAATACCCTCTCCACCATGCTGAGGGAATGCCTGCCTCACTATGCTGTGAATATGCACAAACATAGTGGGTATAGCAAACATTAGCTGGGTTTCCATCCAAACGTCATGCTAATTTTTTTCCAAGTTTGGAACAAAAAAAGGCGAATTAGGTGCGTTTCCATCAGGTAGTTCTAGCGGCTGACGGTGGTATTGGTAACCAAGTAAGCAACAGTAAATAAAACATGGACTCAGCGGAAACAGTAGTGATGTGTGTTGTTCGACTCAATGAGCGACTGCTTTAAGAGAACGGTGAGAGTCGGTTCCCGTCTGAGAGCCGTTTCCCCTTTTTGTATATTAATACAAGACATAATAATATGATTATCCATTCGCTACACTGCTCAGCCACACAGCAAGTAGTCACTAGCTTAATGTTATTTTGATGTGTATGTGTATATCACGTGTCATGACGTAAACCCGTTACTCTCGATTCGTCGCACGCACATACAGCTACACATTAACATAACATTCAGTCACTGCATGGAGTGTGTGTGGTCGAGCAGTGTGGTCTCTTTAAAAGGATAGTTCACCCAGAAATTAAAATTACCCCTATTGACTCTACACATGCGACTGATATAATGGCGGAATTCCCAAAGCCAATACTAACCCAAAAATTAAAATTACGCCATGATTTACTCTCCCTGAAGCCATCTCAGGTGTATATGACTTTCCTCTTTCAGAATAAATCTTTAGCAGTATTCACCAGGCTTCAGAGGGGTTAACTTAGACTAAAATAACTAGCTTCCGACAGGATACTCTTATTACTGAGCTGAGACAAATTATTTGGTTCAGTTCCCTAAAAAGAGCAGTAATTAGCATCATGAGGAAATAGTCTATCTGTCACGTGGGTGTAATGTGCGCTACGTTTCCATCTCCCATTATTCGCATTATCCATTTTTTGTAAACTTTTGTCAAAAACCACCTCAAGTGAGCGTAAAACGTTTTCGCGAATTAAGGGATTTTTTTCATAATTTGGCTTTTCCATCACTCGTTTCTGATGCGATACTTCAAAATGTGCATAAAAACAGGGTGATGGAAACATAGCTATTGACTCTACCCATGCGACTGATATAATGGCGGTATTCCCTAAGCCCAAGCTCCCCGATGCTAGAAAAGATTCCCAGGCTTCTATGCTCTACAGCAAGAGAGGTCCGGGCTGTTACAGCTCCCTCCCTAGTGGGACTGGCCTCAGCCCTATACGGGCCCAAAAGCAGAGATCTGAGGAGAAAATACCCAGCATAGCCTCAGGTACGTCAGGCATATCTCACCAGTGTTTGAGAAGGCTCTTAGGGAGTAGCCTACCGAAGGGGAGCTTCTACTCCCGTTTAATGATCCCAAATTGATTAGGGGAGATTAGCTCATACTCTGACTTGAGTGAAGGCACTTCTCCAGGACTCACTATAGTTTATGGCTAAACTATAGAATGCTACAATAATAATAATAATAATAGTTCATTACATTTATATAGTCCTTTTCTCTGCACTCAAAGCGCTTTACATAGAAGGGGGAATCTCCTCAACCACCACCAATGTGCAGCATCCACCTGGATGATGCGACGGCAGCCATATTGCGCCAGAACGCCCACTACACACCAGCTTACTGGTGGAGAGGAGACATAGTGATGAAGCCAATTGGTATATATACACTCACCTAAAGGATTATTAGGAACACCATACTAACACTGTGTTTGACCCCCTTCCGCCTTCAGAACTGCCTTAATTCTACGTGGCATTGATTCAACAAGGTGCTGAAAGCATTCTTTAGAAATGTTGGCCCATATTGATAGGATAGCATCTTGCAGTTGATGGAGATTTGTGGGATGCACATCCAGGGCACGAAGCTCCCGTTCCACCACATCCCAAAGATGCTCTATTGGGTTGAGATCTGGTGACTGTGGGGGCCATTTTAGTACAGTGAACTCATTGTCATGTTCAAGAAACCAATTTGAAATGATTCGAGCTTTGTGACATGGTGCATTATCCTGCTGGAAGTAGCCATCAGAGGATGGGTACATGGTGGCCATAAAGGGATGGACATGGTCAGAAACAATGCTCAGGTAGGCCGTGGCATTTAAACGATGCAAAGTTGCTCTTCTATCAGCTTGAATCAGTCGGCCCATTCTCCTCTGACCTCTAGCATCAACAAGGCATTTTCGCCCACAGGACTGCCGCATACTGGATGTTTTTCCCTTTTCACACCATTCTTTATAAACCCTAGAAATGGTTGTGCGTGAAAATCCCAGTAACTGAGCAGATTGTGAATTACTCAGACCGGCCCGTCTGGCACCAACAACCATGCCATGCTCAAAATTGCTTAAATCACCTTTCGTTCCCATTCTGACATTCAGTTTGGAGTTCAGGAGATTGTCTTGACCAGGACCACACCCCTAAATGCATTGAAGCAACTGCCATATGATTGGTTGATTAGATAATTTCATTAATGAGAAATTGAACAGGTGTTCCTAATCATCCTTTAGGTGATTGTATATGGGGATGATTAGGAGGCCATGATGGACAGAGGCCACTGGGTAAATTTGGCCTGGACACCGGGGTTACACCCCCACTTTTTTCTAAAGACATCCTGGGATTTTTTGTGACCACAGAGAGTCAGGGCCTCGGTTTAATGTCTCATCCGAAGGACGGTGCTCTTTGACAGTATAGTGTCCCCATTACTATACTGGGGCGTTCGGACCCACAAAGACCACAGGGTGAGCGCCCCCTGCTGGCCTCATTAACACCTCCTCCAGCAGCAACCTGGTTTTCTCAGGAAGTATCCCATCCAGGTACTGACCAGGCTCAGCCCTGCTTAGCTTCAGTGGGCACCAGTCTTGATCAGAGTTACAAATTGATGAGCGATATCGGCGATCCACCTATACTCATCAGTTTGTAACACTGATCATCCCTTTAGGATCACCCCACCAAAGGGGAGCATATATCCCTTCTTCAAGACCCAACAACAACGAAACAGAGGGACTCTTGTGAATTG